GTACAAATGTGCTTTACACAATTGATGTGTGTATGGATTGTGATAAGAGTTGTATGAGCCCCTAATAAAATGTTTTAAAAAAAAGAAAGAAAGAAACAGACTGTCTCGTCTCCCCCTTGGAGCAGCTGGTGGATTTGAACTGCCGATTGTTTTCTTAGTAGCGCTGGTATAGTGGTTACACGTTGGGCTGCAATCCATAAGGTCAGCAGTTCGAAATCACCAGCTGCTCCAAGGGAGAAAGACTGGGCGTTCTACTCCCATAAGCAGTTACAGCCTCGGCAACTCACAGGGGCCTATCGAGTCGCTATGAGTCAGCATCAACTCAGTGGCGGTGAGACCCTGCCACTTAGCCAGTGGCACCCCAGGGCTCCTCGAATTGCATTAGGTTAAAAAAAATCATTTCTGAAAGCACCCATAACAAGAACTGTTTTCTGTCTGTAGCAGCTCTGCACAGCTTTCTAAGAAGCCTTGGTGGGACCTTGTTTAAAGTGCTCGGTGGCTAACCCAAAGGCCAGAAGTTCAAACCTCGCTGCCCCTCCGCAGGAGAAAGCTGTGGCAGGACCCGATGGGGCAGCTCGAGTCTCTGTCCTCTAGGGTTGCTGGGAGTTGGGTCTGTTCAGTGGCAGAGGGTTTGGGTTTGTCTGGGGAGCAAATCTCCACCATGAATCCATCTAAAGCGAGTGAGGTGTTAGTCTCATGGAAGAACACCAGCAACAAACACAAACGATAGAATGAATGCCTTCCGTAGGTTATGCCTGGGAGATGGTTTGCATTTCCGGTTGTAAACGGTCTAAAACCGTGTGTGTTGACCCTGACTAGGGAGCACGCTGGACCTGGCAGGCCTGAAGTTCATCTCGATGTGTTCCAGATGGGGTGACCTCAGCCCCAGCTGCAGGCAGCGCCTTTCCCAACACTTCCATTCTCAGGAACTGACTTTCAATTCAAAAATTCTGTATTGAAATATGTAAGAGGGCCCCAGAGCTATCTGATCTTGCTTCTGTGGCCCGGCCCAGCCCAGGGGAAAAGCAGGGCTCAGAACAGGGGCCACTGGGAGTCTCTGTAGCTGATGTGTCACCACCAGCCCCACCCCTCAACTTTGGTTTGCAAGATAACACAGAAAAGCTGGCTCCAGCCGCTCCCTGTATCGTGCCAGCTGTGCCCTGCCCAGTAAATGTATGTAATTACACGTGATGTCATGTGCTCCTCACTTGGGTTCTTTGGTCCCACGTGGGCTGTTTGTCACAGTTTGGGTAGGGATCTCCATCCATAGCCTGTTCTGCCCCCTCTCAGTCAGCCAGAGTATTGCAGTCCAACGTGGGCTGGCCTAGCCAACTCACCTTGTATTTCTCAGTCTTCCATGCATCAAGGAGTCACCCCGCTGGTAGAAGGCTCCGGAAGCAGAGTTGGGAAACAGCACTGGCTTTGAGGAAAGAGAAAGAAGGCGTGAAAGAGGGATTCATGGGGGAGGAAATCATCCAGTCACTATTTCGTGAGACCCCAGTTAACAGTGAATGTTCTTACCTGCTCACCAACAGATTGGAGGCCCTCACACCAAACGCACTGCCATCAGAGTGGATTCTGACCCATGGCAACCCTCTAGGACAGAGTAGAGCTGCCCCTGCGGTTTCCGAGACTGTGATCCTCACAGGAGTAGGCAGCCTCGTCTGTCTCAGGCAGAGTGGGTGCTGCTTCCCAGCATATAACCACTGCGCCACCAGCGCCCTTTGGAGGCCCTGGTCCACCCAAAGCCCTTCAGAAGAAAGGCCTCTTGACCCGCCCAAATTACCAGCTACTGGACATCCTGCCGAGGACACTTCTACTTGGACCCACGAGGGGTTGTCATGAATCCGAAGGACAGTGCACGAAGCTCAGCAGCAACTGGCTGGTTTTGTGTTTCTTTTGACTGCTGAACTAAACCCCTGCCATCGAGTCAGCACTGACTAACTCAGAGAGCCTCTGAAGTCTCTACCCGAGCACGCAGCCCCATCTTTCTCCAGAGCAGCGGCTGGTGGGTTTGAGCCACAAGGCAAGAGAGGAATGATGACCATGGACAGAACCCTACTTTCCCAGAGCTCACAGTCTGTTGTACAGCGAGATAAGTGGACAGGCCGTTTTCACACGGCGTGAGAGGGGCCATGGTGAGGGAAATGGGAGACGCCGTGGGAGCGCTTGGGTAGAGCACTGCCCAGCTGGGGCCGGAGGCGGCAGGGGAATCAGATGACTCTCAGTGGAAGTGGGACAGGAGGATCCCTCGTATACCAGAGCGGACAGGAGAGAGTGTTCAGGGCCCCATTCCAAAGCCTGAGAGTGGGAAAATGGAGCCTCTGAGGCACCATATCCGGAAGGTGGCACACCGACGGATAGCAGGGCATGGGGCCGGCAGAGTGAGAAGGAAACCAGGAAGGGCGGAGGAGGCTGTGGGCCAGGATGCCGCTGGTTGGTAGTGCCATCTTCTGAGAGGAGGCTCCCAGGAGAAGTAGGTTTGCAGGAGGGTTGTGGGGGACAATGGCTCATGTTGTTCATTTGATTCTAGACTGTGGGTGTTTCCACATGTTTGGGGGGGTGGCAAATGCTCATGGACATCTGAAACGTTTGTTCACAGCTTTTGTGCTGAGACTGCTTATGTACAGCCAGATAGCTCGTGGGATCTGGTTTCTTTGTTTGGAGACTCCAGGTTATGTTTCTGGACTGGCCTGATCACATCCGAGTTCACCGTGTGGTTCCTGGTGCCTTCATCTCCAAAGCTGGCAGGAGGCCATGCGTGCACGGTGATGTGTCTGTTCACCTGGACGGAGCCCCAGTGACATCGTCCTTAATGCAGCAGGCTGCCAACCGCTTGTCATGTTCCAGAAACCACTACCCACCCCTCGGGAGAAAGAGGACGCTTCCTCCTCCAGGAAAGGGTTACTGTTTCAGAAACCGACCGGGACAGTTCTGTCCTGCCCTATGGGGTCGCTGTGAGTCAGCGTCAGTGCACTTGCTATGAGTGTTTTGGGGTTGGGGTTTGGCTTTGAGTTTGAGTCACTCACCTGGAGCACACAGGAGGAGAGAGAGCCTGCAACAGGAGGGAAGAATGGGGGGCTAACAGCCTCCAGGGACAGCTGCCTGTTCTGCTGTGAGACCAAAAGAAATGGTTGTTGCTCAGCTAACATCGCCGAGTAATTTGATCCAAGGTTCTAACACGAGAATTCTGATCAAAAAGGGTACAATTTACAGCAGAATTTCAGTCTCACCTCCAGCGTTTCTGGAGCCATAGAGGTTGGACGAACCCTTAAAACTATTGTCGCAAAACCGAAAATACCCCTTAAAGTCTTCTTAAAACCAAATAAGGATTTAGCTTAACTAGTTAAAAGAAAAAACTATCTGCCTTAAGCTTTATGGTCTTTTAAGAACCGCCTAGATGGACTCAATTTGACAACAGCATCTCAAAGAATTCGATAGGAATCTTAGCGGGCAGGGGGTTTACGGATGGGGTGGGGCCGCTTGAGGGAAAATAGCTGCACACCTTGGAGAAAGCTATTCACCGCACTGAATCATACATGTAGAAACTGTTGTCTTGGTGTATGTATGTGTATAGTCTCGACAGCCATAAATAGCAGTATTTAAATGTTAATTAGCTGCTTTCAATGATTTTGTTACTCTAGGCCATTGGTTCCCAAACTTATTTAGCCAACAACCTGCTTTTCAGGAAAAAAAATTACTTGGTGCCCCCCTGGCAATGGACAACTTTGGTACGGTAGCCATCACAGCCCCCTGGATCATTGAAGCATCTCCAGGGGAGGGTGTCTCCCACTTTGGGCAACATTCTCACTCCCTGCCATCGAGCCAACACTGACTCATACCCGCCCCTATGAATCTGTAACTGTTTACAGGAGTAGAAAGCGCAGTCTTTCTCCTGAGGAACTGCCTGCTGGTTTTGAACTGCTGACCATGAGGATTGCAGCCCGACTTGTAACCACTATACCACGAGGCTTCTAGGCTACCATGACATCCCACAAGGATGTTCAGATCTCTTAGTTTCTGCGGACTTTCTTTTCATCCAGTAAGCATATCTTAACGTTTACAATTGAGGTCATCTCACTGCTTAAACCGTATCCGATTTGTGCGGGTACCCAGGAGTGAAGACGTGGGCTGACGTGTATCGAGGCTGTGCCTGGCCTTCCCAACACGGGCGCCAGCCTCCTCCTGTGCCACCCGGGAAATGCTTGTTCAGATCGTGCATAGACCCCATTTAGGAGCATACATTACTTCTCGAGATGACCGGACGAAGTCCTACTAAGTGTTTGGAGGGACTGTCTTGAGCCAGTATGTGATACGGTAGAGTTTTCAGAGGTGCGGGGCTGTTTTGAGGAGAGTTACTGCGTTGCACTCTGATGATCTGCTTGTCCAGAGGACATGGAAAAGCAGCATGATGGTCGCATAGGAAGGAACAGAGATTCATGCTAACCATCCCCCTGAGCCATCCTTCTCCCCGGGCCCCTCACAGGCCTGGCCTATGCGGGAGAAAAATGTGTGTGCTTCTTTCATAGTAAAGCAACCCAGCGACATTGGGCGCACAAGCTCACCAGCCTCCCTTTTTGCTTTGGCAGGAATTTAGATAATGGGCTGTGTGCAATGTAAGGATAAAGAAGCAACAAAACTGACGGAGGAGAGGGACGGCAGCCTGAACCAGAGCTCCGGGTACCGCTATGGCACAGACCCCACCCCTCAGCACTACCCCAGCTTCGGCGTGACCTCCATCCCTAACTACAACAACTTCCACGCGGCAGGGGGCCAAGGCCTCACCGTCTTTGGGGGTGTGAACTCGTCGTCTCATACCGGGACCTTGCGTACAAGAGGAGGAACAGGTAAGCCCCCAATGCTGGCAGAGGGCGAAAGGCAAGTGGGGGTGGGGGGGGCGGTTGCTCTCATTTTTTGGTCAGTTGAACGTTTGTGCTCTGTCAGCCCGCCATTTGACTGACGGACTATACAATGGACCCTCGGGCTGCCCGTCCCGTGCCCGTCCCCACGGTCGGTTGTGGGTTGACCCACTGTGATCCTTAGAGATTTTGTTGGCTGTTTGATTACCAGGTCTTTCTACCAAGCAACGCACAGACCTCCACCAAAAGGCAGGAGGGGGGTGGCTGCACACAACATGCATTGGCTGGTGGTCAAAAACCAGGGCTTGCACGCAGAAGCTGCGAACCCTGGCACCCAAATGCCCACCCCAGTCAAGACCCGGAGCTTGGTGTGCACATCAGAGTGCTGGCGGCAGGCATGTTCCGGGCGGGGTGTCCTTGCTGCTCCAGGGGAGGCCTGCCCCATGGTGAAGGGTAGGAAGATGCAGCGTGTTACAGAGACACTTCAGGCCAGCATGGCGCAGTCACTTGAAATGCAGTGGCACCTCTCCTATCTCTCGTCAAACAGCTCCAAGCTCGAGCTTTCCGCCACGCGAACAGAAAAGTCAGGCAAAATCTGCTCCGTGTTCGTAACTTTGCTCAGTCATCGAACCGAGAAAACCTGCGTGGGCCCAGCGTGAGCCATGCGGCAGTCAAAGAAAGACATCCTTGCGAAATTTGAATCAGGTCACCACTTGTCTGAGTGGGCAGCTGAATGCAACACGGTTAAGTTGTATTATCAACACTTAAAAAAAGATGTGATTAAAGCAGCAAATGCAGCCAGAGGTGTGAAATGGTGAACCAGGAAACAGCCCAGACCATGGAAAAGGTTGAAAAGTTATGGGTAATTTGGATAATCGGAAACAACTCGATGGCAACAGAGTAGCCGAGACAGTGCTCTTTCAGAAGGCTAAAAGCCTTGATAGTGATTTAAAGCCCTGGAAAAATTAATCTACAGGTGCAAATTTGGGGCCTCAGAACCAACTGTTCGGTTTTCTGTGATGCCTTATGGGAAACATATGTGTAGTTCCTGAGTTTCTCGGTGTTCCAACATGAATTTGGAACAAACTGAGTTCGACCTCTGAGGTCTCTGGCCTCCGGCCAATACTGAGCTTCACCCACTGAGGTCTCGGGGCAGGGTCTGTGCGCGTGTTCCGAGTTCCCCTGAGAATAATCATGGGCCCCACCCTGTGTCAGGACCGCTTCCGGGGGCTGACCTCCTCCCTGGGCTTCCTAACCTTCAGCCCCGGGAACGCCCAGCCTCAAGGACACTGGCTGCATGCGTTTGTCCTTGCTCGCTCTCCGCCTCACGTGCCACGTGACTGAGGTGATCCAGCACGTTCACGGAGCAGATCTATTTCACAGTCTAGGGTTTGGGGGGGTTTCTGACGTGTGCTTTCACCCCCAGGGCTGCAGTTTACTGTGCGTGTCTGTGCTGACTGGGCTGCAGCTTGTGCGCACGCAGGCGTGTGTTTCCTGGCACGTGTGGAAGTGATCTCAGGCACCCTTCCTCTTCCAGACCCTCTCCCTGTGTACAGACCAGGGCAGCTGGATGTGGGACATCGTTTGTCCCACAGTTGTCCTGTTCTTTACAAAATAAAACTTCATGAGAACGCAGCATCGGCCATGCGGCTCTCGAGCCCCTTTCAGGGCAGATGTTTTGCGAACAGCTTCCCCTCGGGCCGTTTTACCTGGGAGTTGGCCCTGCAGAGGCTTTCTTACTTGGGTGACCAACAGCAGGCAGGCTCAGTCTATCAAGGGCACCCAACCCAGAGCCTTGGGGTGCTTGCCCCTCCTCTGTTCAGCACATAAGCATAAAGCCCCACCCCGTAGAAAAGATAGGTTTACGTTTAGCTTTTCCTTATGGATGGTCCAGCTTTCCCTGGGACTCATACTGTGCTTGGGTGAAGGGAGTTTTTTTAAAAAATCGTACTTTGCCTGGGTGAATGAATGAATGCTCATAAAAAGTCCTTTAAACTGTCCCAACTCACAGTGAGCCCATGTGTGACCTTTTCAAGGGCCAGTCTTCCAGTTAATAGCGCAGGGCAAAGGACGCTAAGACGCTCCCCCTCGCTCCCCCCTTCTCAGCACTCCAAACCCCATGCCCTCGAGTTGGTGCCGACTCACAGCGAGCCTGCAGGGTAGGGTAGAACTGCCCCCTGAGAGTTTCCCAGACTAACTCCTTACGGGAGTAGAGAGCCCCGTCTTTCTCCCGAGGAGCGGCTGGTGCCTTCGAACTGCTGACCTTGCAGATCGCAGCCCAGCCTGTATCCACAATGCCACCAGGGCTCCTCCCTTTCTCAGAAGGCACCTGGAGTAAAGAAGGGAGGGGGCGGCCAGGAAGAGAGAGGCAACCAGCCAGTCTAGGGCTTGTCTCATGAGGATGCAGGCAGAGAAAAGAACCAAAAAGGCCCCCAGCCCACCCCACCACCCCCACCCTCACCCATCCTGCCACCCCCATGCCGAGCACGTGTTTGAAGCACTGGGGTTGCCAGCCCAGGCTGTGTCACTGCAGACACGGGCACTGCCCTCGTTCCTCCATTCATGAGTGCTGGCTGTCTGCTGCTGTGTCTGCTGGTATCTCCCATTAAAGTCAGCCACGAGGCCTCCTTGTCTTAAACCTGTGGGTGGCTCCGTACTGCAGTGGGGGACAATCTAGCCTCAGAGGCCATCTATCTGATCCCTGGCAGAATGGATGAGTTAAGACACCGCCCCACCCCACCCCAGATGTTAGAGGATCCTTCTGCCTTCTGTGACGTGGCTTTATAATCTATGCATGCCCTTTCTCCTCACCTCTCCTTCCGGGCCTCTGGAGCCAGGGGCAGTGTCTGCGCGACTTTGTGACCGCCACTCAGTCCCTCGAACGGGAAAGAACCAGCGAGAGCAGCCCGCTGACGGCGCAGGAGCAGCGAGTGGGAGTGTGGGTCTTCTGGTGCCGGGCCTTCCATGCAATGGGGCTGGCTTGGGCTTGGTTTTAACTTATGTCATGAAGAGCATCGGCTAATAGAGTGTTAAATGAGGATAGGCGTGACCTGACGGGCTCCCACATTTTTGTTTGAAGCCAGTCTCTTTCCTGACCTTTCACAGGAAGTGAAAGAAAGGAGCAGGGTTGCCCAAGGAGCCCTGATTTGTGTGGCCAAGGCTTTCTGTAAGCGAACTTTCTGGCAGGAAGTCCAGTACCAGGGGTTACGGGGGAGGGGGGTTGGTAAGGGGTGGTGGAAGGACAAGCCCGCCTCCTGCTCAGGCTCCTGAATAGGCCCAGGCACACATCTCTTGCCCTAGGATTACCTGCAAAGCACAATGGGAGCTTGGCGAACGGGCAGGCTCCATTTGGTGAGTTTTGTTTTAGACCATGACAGGGGCTTTGATGCTGTGGAGATAAAAATGAGGCCAGAGGGCAGAGACGCAGAGCGCATTGCTTGTCAAATCCCGTGTCAGAAATTATCGCAGAATTTAATAGCTTGGAGAAACGAAACGCTTATTGTCTCGCAGATTCTATGGGTTAAGAAACCAAGAAGGACTTAGCCAGCTCTTCGACTTCAGGATCTGCCACAGGCTGCAGCCAAGATGTGCCCGCTGGCTATGGGGACCTGCCTCCAAACCCGCGTCGTGCGGGCAAGACTCATTTCCTCGAGGGCCATTGGATTGGGGGCCTCAGCCCCTTGTTGGACGTCAGCCAGAGGCCACTACTTAGTTCCTGGTCAGACGGTCCCTCAGCTTCACCGGCGTGTGCAGGCTGAGGTGGCTGTAGAGTCTGGGCCGACGGGACCCAGGTCACAAAGTGAAGTGGCTTCCCATCACCCGCGTCGTGTCCTGTTGGTTAAAAGCAGGTCACTCGATTCAGCTCACCCTCAACGGGGAGGGGCTTACACGAGGGTAAAAATACCAGGAGGTGAGAATCACCACCAGAGAGACCTCTTCAAATCCTGTCCACTCTATGGAGACAGTCAGCCCTAGGCCACATGAGAAGCTGGGCATTTCTGCTGCTGATAGGAAATGTTGGGGGACCCTCTGGGATTTTCAGCCAGAGGAGGAGCCCTGAACCCAAGCCTGTGAGCCGGAGCGAGTGCCGTAGGGAGGCAGGCGGGCTCAAGGTAGCAGGAGAGCAAGGAGGGGGTCCAGTGAGAGTAGTAGCACCAGGCAGCTCAAACCTGTGCAAAGGCAACTGCTGATGCCAAGGGCAATTTTCCCACCCTCTAACTGGGATTGGGCATTACAGAGGGGGTTTCCTCTAAAGCCCACCCGTCCCCCAGCTGCAGGCGGCGTTTCCTGCTGCAAGGGGCATGCCTATGAGAGCAAGGGCAAAGAGTGGCCTGTTTCACCCAAAGCCCAGCATGGGCTCCCGGGTGGTGAAGAACATGCAGAAGATACGGCGTGTTTGTAATGGCTGCAGAGCTCTGCAGACTGGGCCCTAACCCCGCCGCCGCCGCTCTCTGGTTTGGGACCGGATAGCTGCCTCTTCCCAAAGACTCCTTCAGAAGTTGTGCAGAGAGAAGTCCTTCAATTCCAGGTTTTAGTTGCATCAAACCCTGCGTCCCGAACAGAGACCACGGCATAACATACCCCTAGGACTCCTGCTTGCACACGTCCTGACAGCACTGCACCACGTTCGTTACCAGGGCCGACAAGATGCGGACTTAGAGAACGCGCTGTGGGGGAAGGCTGAATTTCTTGGAGTCCGTTTCGTGCCCCCCACCCACCCTGTGTAATAATCTCTCCGCTTTTGATTTTGTTTCATCAGGAGTGACCCTGTTTGTGGCCCTTTATGACTATGAAGCACGGACAGAAGATGACCTGAGTTTTCAGAAAGGAGAAAAGTTTCAAATCTTGAACAGCTCGTAAGTTGGGGAGGCGGGGTGGGGGGTGCTGCCTTTCATAGCATGAACATATTTCTTGTGCTTTCTGCCTACCATTTTCCAGATAACCTGAAATGGGAAAAGAGCGTTTGCTAACTTCAGCCCTTCACAGCAGTGTCATTTGAGACAGTCCATCGCAGTGGTGCGTGACACTGGGTGCCCAAACCCACCCCGCAGCTCCGAGGGAGAAAGGCCTGGCAATCTGCTCCCCCAGAAATGACAGCCAAGAAAAGCCTGTGAGGCAGTTCTTCTCTGTCACATGGAGACACAATGGTCGCCAGCAACAGTGTCCAGGAAACTTTTAGAAAGAGATCATAGTAGCAGGGCTGATGATTTTAGTTTATGTTGTTTCTAAAGTTTGCAAAAGCACCAGGATTCCCCTCCAACAAACCTAGAGTCTCCAAAGATTGGCACCCCGCTTGTTCGTGTGCCCTCAGTGGGTTCCGACTCACAGTTGCCCCGGGGAACCCTGCCCGGGCCTGCGCCACCCTCCAGTTGTTGCGAGTTTCAGCCTATGGTGGCAGCCCCTGAGTCATTCCAGCTCCTGGTCGCCCACCTGACATCTGCCTTGCAGTTGTCCTCGCATTTCCAAAGTTAACACCGCCAAGTCCTCACTGAAGACTGGCAGGAAGGTCTTTCTGTTTTCAAAACTACTCAACATCCCACCCCGGGCAGTCTGTGCAGGCGGTTCCCCTCGTGAAATTCCGCTCTGTCCGAAAGCCCTGGGAGATGAGAGGGTGCGGGATGTCACCCCATCATGAGTGACTGCAGGGCGTGTGCTTTGAAGGCGGCCGGTAGGAGCAACCAGTTACGCAGACAGTTGGGATGTTTCAAGAACGAGAATGGCTTGTTCTTCAGACCTTACGTTCATAACGCAGTTAGAAAGAACAAACATGGGTCAGATTTCCCTGTGGTTTTCAAATACAACATAGTAAGTAGGTTGAGGCAGGATGCGTGATGAGGGCCCATCAGAAAAATACTGACTCCAAAGAAAATGGCGGCGCCCCTGGCAGCAGCAAGACAGGCCTGGTGCACCCTGCCAGCAGGCACCTCAGGCGAGGGCGGCCCTGGCGGGCAGGAAGGAGTGCCACCCAGGGGCTGGGGGCTAGGCCAGCACTCCGAGCACCATCTGGGTTGCTCTTTGAGCAGTCTGCAGTTAGGGTGGCTGCGGGGGGGCTTGTCGCCTGGCTCACAGGCTCTCCTCCAGGGTGAGCGAGAGAGGGTGAGAGGTAGCCCTGCTCTCCTGCCCAGGAACAAGGAGAGGAGAGGTCCTTGTATCCGGGAACTCCCCCAGGCCCCTCAGAAAGCCCGCCCCTTCCCTGGGGTGCCCTGGGAAGAGCTTCCTTCTGAGGCCCGCATGCAGGGTCCTTTCCACTTTTTATTTAAAAAACATGCGGAAATGTGCAAACAGCGTAAGTGCACAGCTGCTGCCTTCTCCCCCTGCCCCCACCCCCACCGCCAGCCCCCGGGTCAAGAAAGAGCCCCCACCCCGAGCCCCCCCTCACGTGGCAGCAGGAATTTTCTAAAATAGCCAACAGCTGCCATTTTTGGAAGGCTTGTCATGGGCCAGCCTTGTGCTACGTTACAAATGGCATCCCTGAATCTTCAGAGCAGCTGGACAGCGTATGTCGCGTAGCCATGGCCCCACACATGAAGAACCTGGGGCCAGTAAGGGCCCAGCCCGAGTGTACAGAGCCAGCAAGTGGCAGAGCCAGGGTCCATGTGTGGAGATGGAATCCTGGGTCCCGGCTCAGACTGGGTCTCGTCGGAACTACCACCCGAGAGGAGGACTCGGCTCTCCCCGTTGTGTGCAGCCTTGGCCAGGCTGGCTGCAAGGTGGGGGAGGAGGGAATCAGGCTTTGATCTGTTCTGATTATGATACCTCGTTGCTCACTGAGGAGTCCGTGGGTGGTGAAATGGGCTTACATGCTCTCCTGCTAAGCAGAAGGGTGGCGGTTGGAGTCCACCCAGAGCAACCGTAAGAGAAAGGCCTGCTTCCAAACAAGCAGCCATTGAGAACCCAGGGGAGCCCACTTCTACTTGACACGCAGGGCTGCCGAGAGACAGAATCCACTCAAATCAACTGCTGGATCGGGACTTCGGTTCTCCGGTGACTGCTTCTCTGACTCTGAATTCTAGATTCCTCCAGCTCTTGGGTACTGAAATATGCCCCAGGGGGCCCTCGTGGCTGCACAGAAATCGTAAAGGCCTTTGTAGATTCTCATAGGTAAGTCCCGAGGCATCGTGGGTGCTGTTGGCTCGGACCCTGCAAGATGGAGTGGGTTCTCAGCTGTAATCTTCGTGGGGAGCAGTTCCCGTTGGGTTCCAGATGATCTATGTCTCAGGTTGTAGCATTTGGCCAGAGTCCCCCATTCCCTCTGTTAATCCGTGTAAGATCTGCAGTGCTGTCGAATTGAAACTGTAGAGAAACATTGGAGAAAGAGCTGATCTAGTGCCAGCGGTGTTTTGTGATTTGCATGTATGGCCTTTGCTGTTTACAAAGGGCTTTGAGCCGCTGAGCCCATTCTCTTAGGAAAAAAAACACTACTAAGGCTTCTAGCCCCCAGCCGCCCCCTTGAAATTCTTCCTTCTTGCTGGTGGAATTCCTCATCCTACATGCCAATTAAATGCCCCTTTTCAAGGTTATGAAAAAAAA